CCCCAAAACCCCAAAACCCCAAAACCCCAAAACCCCTGAAACTATTTATTTAATTGAAGAATATCGTTAATCTCTCTTTTGTTTTGTCCTTGGAGCTTTGCCAAAGATTGATGAATAAAATTTTTCTAATCCTTCCCAAAACAACTGGCCAGCACCAACAGCAGGAAGCCAGATTAAACAATGAGTAAGATGAATAGAGTTTAGCATAGCTGGTCCTGGACATAATCCGCAGATACCCCATCCAATTCCAAATACAGCTGCTCCAAAGAACAATTTGAGATCTGGAAATCCATTGGCTAATGGGCCTAACTTCCTCACAAAGAATGGCCTTCCTCTGTGCTTAATAACATAAGTAAATGTTATAACATTCACCAAGATTGCTCCACCCATTACAAATCCTAAGGAAGGATCCCAATCTGAAGAAATTGTGAAGAAGTTGTAAACTTTAGTTCTCCTTGTCATCCCGCTAAGACAAAGTCCAAAAGCAAAGATTCCACCAATAATTATTGACACTGGAGTTTCAATTAATGGCAGCATAGTTTCTTTATCTATCACAAGAGTTATTAGATAGATTACAAAGAAAGAAATTAGTAAACCATTTGCTACTAACACTAGAGCCCATCTGTAAGAATCATCAAATTCTGAGGTAAATGTGTATTCCTCATCCCAAAATGGAGAATTCTTTCTGTATGTTGCTGTGAATGCACAAGTTGCCATAAATGTCATTACTGCAACGAGAGATCTTGGACTAAATCTTGGGATTCCACAGACACCGTGTCCACTGGTACATCCATTTCCAGCTTTTGTCCCAATTCCCACTAAAAGTCCACTCACAATCCATCCATATAAGCTGAGTCCTTCTATTTTTGCATCTCGTGAATCAAACCTAGATGATATGGTCTATCTCAAACACTTACATTTGAATTCCGATTCTGTCAATACCGAGCAAGCTTATACCCTTGAATTTGACAATTCCATCATCTCCAAGATAATAAAGGAGGAAACCAGTGTAGATAAGTCCTGTAATGAATCAGAATTTCCAGCGAAGACCTCCTTTTATGTCAAACTTGATCAAAGTATTGAAAATACCACTAAAACCAGTTATTCTTCCCATCAAGGCAAAGTTGAGGGAAGTCGCTATTCCAATGATAATTCCTCCTACGAAAGCAAAAAGCCAGTCTCTCTCAGTGAACGAGACGTCTAAATCAGACATTTTTAATATTAATCAAAAAAGATTTTCAAATTAAGTAAGCACAAAAGGGGTTTTGGGGTTTTGGGGTTTTGGGGTTTTGGGGTTTTGGGGTTTTGGGG